TGAGTTCAGGAGAGACTGAAGCAGGGATAGTCTGTGATGAGGTAGGCCGGTGAGAAGGGAGTTGCAGTAGTCCAGATGTGAGATAATAAGGAAGTGAATGAGTTGTTTAGTGGTTTCTGGGGTTAGGAATGGACGTATTTTGGAGATGTTGCGGAGGTGGAGTCTGCATGAGTTTGCCAACGATTGGACATGGGATTGGAAGGACAGGTTTGAGTCTAGAGTGACAACTAGGACTTTGGCTTGCGGGGTGGGACTGATGTGGCGTTGTTGGTCATGATGGAGAGGGGAGGGGGGGGGCGCGGGCTGGGGAGAAGATTAGGAGCTCAGTTTTGGAAAGGTTCAGTTTGAGGAAATGGAGCGACATCCAGTCTGATATGTCGTTTAGCAGGTGGGTGATACGGGCGGTGACTGAAGGGGTGAGGTGAGGGGTGGAGAGGTAAATTTGCGTGTCATCGGTGTAGAGGTGATAGTTCAAGCCGTAGGAGTGTATCAGTTTGCCGAGGGAGGAGGTGTAGTTGGAGAAGAGAATTGGCCCGAGGACAGAGCCTTGGGGGACCCCAACAGAGAGGGGGAGAGAGGGGGAGGTGGGAGGATAATAGGATTATAGGTAACGCTGAAGGAGCGTTGGGATAGGTAGGAGAGCCAGGAGGGAGCGGAGTCTCTGATGCAGAGGGAGTGTAGTTTATTAAGGAGGAGGGGGGGTGGTCAACTGTGTCGAAGGCTGCGGAGAGGTCAAGGAGTAAAAGGACTGAGTAGTGGCCATTAGCTTTGGCGGTTAGCAGGTCATTAGTGATTTTGAGTAGGGCAGTTTCGGTGGAGTGTAGGGGACGGAAGCCAGACTGTAGTGAATCAAGGAGGTTGTTGTCAGTGAGGGTGGGCGCTTAGATGATTGTAGACTAAGCACTCAAGGAGCTTGGAAGTAAATGGCAGCAGGGAGATGGGTCTAAGGTTGTTCAGGTCAGTGGGGTCCAGGGAGGGTTTTTTGAGTATGGGGGTGATGTGTGCGCGTGCTTTGGAGGGGGGATGCGCCAGTAGAGAGGGAGAGATTGAAGATGTAGGTGAGGGAGCGTAGGATGGAGGAGGAGGGTGACCGGAGGAGTTGTGTGGGGACAGGGTCAAATGGTGAGGCGGGCTTCTGAGAAGACCTTGGTGACCTCCTCAGTGGTGGCAAGGCTGAAGGAGCGGAGTGTTGGGGAGGTAATAGTGTGCGGGATGTTGGATGTGGTGGGGGGCAGGGCGGTTCCGAGGTCAGAGGAGGGGAGAGTTGGTGGGGTTATGGTGGGAGGGAAGCTAGCTGGGGAGGTAGGTTGAGCATTGGCGATGTCCTTACGGATTGCGTCGATTTTATTTTGGAAGTGATTGGCAATCTAGTGGGAGGTGAGTGAGGTACTGGGTGGGGGTGGGGAGAGAGTAGTGAGTTGAAAAGTGGAGAAGAGCCGGCGAGGATTGCAGGAGAGGGTGTTGATGAGGGTTACGAAGTAGGCTTGTTTGGCGGCGTGGAGGGAGGAGGTGTAGGTGAGGAAGGCGGATATGTAGAGGGAGAATGCTCGAGGGGATCTGGTTTTGCACCATAGTCGCTCCAGCATGCGACTGCGTCATTTAAGATTTTTAGTGTGGTCATTCTGCCAGGGTTGAAGTGGTCGGGGTCTAATGCTACGTGTGGTGGTTAGGGGTGCTAAGGAGTCTAAGGCAGCTGACAGCGAGTTGTTGTACGTAGTAGTGGCCAGGTCAGGGCATGACAGTGGAAGGATACTGTCGTACAGACGGTCAGCTGCAGAGTGGAGAGGGGCCGGGTTCAGGTTGCGGAGGTTACGGCTGGTGATGGTTTGACGTTTGGGGGGGGGGGGGGTGTTAGAGGATGGGGAGATGGAGAACGTAATGAGGTTGTGGTCACAGAGAGGGAAAGGGGTGTTAGTGAAGTTGTGGGGGGTGCAGAGATGGGAGAAATGAAAACGCGGTCCAGGGTGTTCCCGTCAGTGTAGGTGGAGGACTGCGTGCACTGCGAGAGTGCAAAAGAAGAGGTTAGGTGGAGGAGTTGGGATGTAGCCGGGTTGTTGACAATGATAGGGATATTGAAGTCACCAAGGATGATGGTGGGTAGCTCAGAGGAGAGGAAGAAGGGCAGCCAGGTGGAAAGGTCGCCAAGGAAGCGGGGGATACGGGTCCAGGAGGCCGATCGATTACTGCAATCCTCAGAGGGGTGGGGGAGAAGAGTCAGATGCAGTGGGCCTCGATCTTGTCTCTAAATATTACCCAAACCGTACTATCGGCTCCTCGCAAGACCTCCTGCTCTCTAGCTCCCTTGTCTCCTCCTCCCATGCTCGTCTCCAGGACTTCTCCAGAGCTTCCCCCATCCTCTGGAACTCTTTACCCCAATTTATCAGACTATCACATACTCTGCTCACTTTTAGGCGATCTCTGAAAACTTCTCTCCTCAGGGAAGCCTATCCTGCCCTCAGCTAATACTGGAATCTTCTACTCTTCCAACCAGTTCATCCCCAACAGTTAATACCTTTTGTACCACTAGCCCCTCCCTTAGTAAGCTCCAAGGAGCAGGGCCCTCAAATCCCTCTTGTATTGAACTGTATTGTCTCCCGTTATATTGTAAAGCGCTGAGCAAACTGTTGGCGCTATATAAATCCTGTATAATAATAATTTCCCCCCCCCCCAAAAAAAATAAAAAAATGTAGAATTGTCAGAATTGGCCCGATATTGAGGTGGTTAATGGGCCTATACACACAAATGCATAAACTTGTCATGTGTATAGATCAGTAAAAAAAAAAAAAAAATCTGTGTTGCTGGTCAGTGTTTTTATGCAATTAGATGTGTATAGCTGCAAATATGTGCAGTCAGCACACGCCCTTGATTAAAAAAAAAACTAGAAACGTGTGTATGCATCAGTGTGTGTATGTACAAATATATGTATGTGTTATACAGCCCATCCTCCTGCTTTTTCTCTGCCAAGAATATCTGGTGTTCATACATCATTACCATGTGAAAGAACCCAAAGAGCTGATTCACACATATATGGTGCAGATTTAAGCTCAGGTTTCACAGTTAATTGATACAGTAATTGTTCACAGGTTCACATCAGGTTCAGGACAGGATTAGCTCAGGATCTTATCCTGTTCTTGCAGATGCAGTTTAGAAACAGTTCCCATAGAAATCAATAGCCTGTAATCCTCACTGCTCAGAAATCAGACAGGACTCTTTAAAACCACACTGAATCTGCACCGCCAGTGCACCCGACATATGTGAACAGGCACTATAGGAAGCAATGTTTTTTTCACATGTCATGCAGATTGGATGTGGTTCAAACAGTATCCAATCCGCATACCAGGGCCAGTTCAATGGCATATCCAATGGCATACAAGGCCAGTTCACACAGATGCAGTGAAAATCTGATGAGATTTCACAGTGCGATTTCTGCTGTGACAGGTGCAAATTGAATGAGATTTCTGAGGGGATTGGGCATAGCAGGAGTTGAAATTCCCACCACACCCCATACTAAACCTGCACAAGACCCTTTTTTGGACCAGCTCAATTTGCACTGCATATATTCCTGCATTGGAAATAATACTTTTGTAGATTACATGCAAATCTATGTTTTTCAGGTCACATCTGATCTGCATAGAATTCACATCCCTGTGAACCGGCTCCCATCATCTACATATATTTTAGAAATTAAATTTAGGGGGAAAAAAAAAAAAAAAAAAAAAAGTTTCTGTTACTTGCTTCAGAGTGGAAAGAAAATTGTCCACCCAATGTATTTATTTTTTCATCTAGATATTCTGCAGGAAAGAAGGGAAAGGGAAGACATGACTGAAACCTTTAAATACATCAAGGGGTTGAACAAGGCTCAGGAGGGCAGGATTTTCAGCACAAAACCAAAATCAAGAACACAGGGACATGGCCTTATACTAGCTGGAGGAAAGGTCAAAACTAATCTCAGAAAGTTCAATTTTACTGAAAGAGTAGTTGATGTTTGGAATAAACTTCCAGCAGAGGTAGTGAGCCAGGTAACAGCAAGTGCCCGATCCTACCAGTGCATTTCAAACACACTTTGGGAATTAAAATCGCATCTAGTGAATGTATCAATGTCTTTAACATGTGCGATTTGCTGCAACGTGATTTCTAAAGTAGTTCTTGCATTACTTTTTCTGCAGTTTTGTTGCAATTTCACATATATGGAATATAATGGAAATCGCATTGAAAAGTGCAAGAAATCATTGAAAATCTTCAGAAATCGCACTGACGTTGCATGATTATAAATTGCAGTGGGGTGACCAGTGACTGAATAGCTTCCAGCATGCTTGGGACAAGCATAGATGTATACACAAAAAACAAAAATAAAAAATCAACCCCACCCCAAGGAAAAAAAAAAAAAAAAAAAAAAAAAAAAAGTTATCAGCACAAAACTCAACCCCCCATAAAAAAAAAAAAAAATAAGAACAACCCCCCCCCCCCCCAAAAAAAAAAGCAGTCACTTGTCTATATCCCATAGATTTGAGGTACAAGTGTCGGAAAGCCGTCCCTTTGCTCTGCGCTCCCAACATACAACTACAGTTCAGTGAGCAGAGGATCCTGACCACGGTAAGCTGCACCGCCATTCTCCCCATAGGGCTGCTTGCAGGACCCCCGCCAGCCTCTTCCCACACCCCGCACACTGCGCTCCATGCGCCTCCCACCTCTTATATAGACAAGGGGGGAAAACCCCTGCCCTCCGATGACGTCATGACCAGAGAGCAGCCAATCGTAGTGTCCGGCGAGCAGCTAGTGAGCGGTGAGCGGAGTGTGTGTATATATATAGTGCTCGCCCGGACTCCGCTCTCTATCCTTAGCACGGCGCGGAGCCGCTTTCTTTGCTTTGCTCCCCTATAGCTGATTGGCGGTGCTCCTGTCTTCTCGCTGCTCTCTGCCCTCCGGGAAATGTGCCAGTGATCGGTGCTATTCCGCTCTGCTCGCTTCTATTCTTAGCCAGTTGTTCCCCCTGTGTTGTCATGATGCCCCGGGGGCCCCTGACCGGGCTGCTCCTGACCCTGTGCCTGAGCGCAGCCGTGCAAGCCGCCCCATCGGAGAGGACCAAGAGCCGCAGACAGGCGCAGCATGCCGTGCAACCTGTCGTCGCTGGAGACTCCACTCAGAGTAAGGACATTGGACTGGGGGTAGGGGCTGGGAGAGATGGATGGGGGGTGCAGGATAAAGGGAACCTGAGTCTCTATGGGGGGGGGGGGTGAGAGTCAACCAAAAGGTGACCCTCCATCATACCTGAAGAGCTACAGGATACCCCATCCTGCAATTGATGGCCCCCTTTTACATTCCAGCACTGTCTACTATAGAAACTCCCTGGATAAGGATCAGCAATGTCTTAGTGGCAGTGGCCCATAGCAACCACCTTCCCATTTCTTCAGCCCAGCCTTTCTCAATGGAGTTCCTCTCCAGGGGGGAGGTCCAGGGGGTTCCTCTCCAGGGGGGAGGTCCAAGGGATTCCTGTCCAGGGGTTCCTGGGGGGTTCCTCTCCAGGGGGGAGGTCCAAGGGGTTCCTCTTGACTTTGCTAGGGGTTCCTTGAGCAATGAGCAACTTCTAACTCTCAGATAAGTTCCCAACAGACACCATTGACCTTTTTACCAATCTGTAATGTTGGCCATACGCATATCAATGTCAACGATTCATCACAGAATTGGACAATGTGATGTAATCCATGATCTGTTAAAGTTTGTACTGTGTAATCCGTTTTAAGTGATCCTGGCTGATTTTATAGAATTGATACTGATCAGTCTGAAAGGAAAATCTGATTGTAGGAAGGTAGATCCATATGGTGGTTGTGTATGGCAAATCAAGTGATCTTTTCAATCTTCTGATCCTATTTTCCATACCCAACAGGAAAGCAATCAACAAAATGGGCTCTTCCACACAATAACCCGATGAGGGAAACCCATGTTCTGTATGTGTTTCCCGTACTGTGTTCAAAACGCACTGTGTGCAACCTGCTGCGGGTGACAATATGACCCTAACGACACCCCAAACACAATGCGTTTTCCTGCATCGAATGGTGTGGTACCACAATACCAGGCAATCTGGTGAAGTGTGGTTTTGAAAATTAATGCATGCACTACTTTTGGTGTGATTTGGGCTGATAATTTCACTGCGCTGAGTCGTATAGGAATTGCACAGGAACATGCTCAGGTGTGGACAGGGGCAGACTGACATCTCATGGGGGCCCCTGGGCAATAGGGGATCATGGGGCCCCTGTGTCCTTGCCCAAACTCTAAAAAGCCTATGAAAAAGGTACCAGGGGCATCCCATGGGGCCCCCTTCTGACCCCAGACCCTCAGGCAGTGCCTGAGTTTGCAAATGGTCAGTCTGCCCCTGGGTGTGGACCATCCCTATGATCCCATATATAAAATTGTTCCATGGTTTGCCTGCCTAATGACGGGATCTTCCCAATGACCACAAATGTAAGGCGCATTCTATGCACTGACCTTCCCAAAATGTACTGTGAGCTGTAGGTAAACTCCATTATTAGCAGGGATTCCCCAGAAAGTTATTTTAAGGGTTCCTTCATCTTTTGAGACCAGCAACATTGACCAGTAATTAGGTACAGAAACTTTGGAGTTTGTTTATGTGGGGTATAAATCTGATGAAGCTGGAGCTGAGGGTATAAAATATGAAGAAGCATAGCAACCAGACATCTCATTCCAAGACAATAGACAATTAACAAAACTGTATGGGTCCTTATTACATATTTGCAGCCGAGTCCAATTTAATTTTGTAATTTAGTCACATGGCTGAAAAATGTTTTATTCTTCTGTTCAGACTTTGAATTCATCCTAATGAAAGGAATCTGGTTGCTATTACAAGCTGAACCACTTTTCTGGTTTTTAATAACAAGAAAAAGGAAAGTGGTTTGTTGCTTTGGACCATCCGGATTCCTTTTTCTCAAACTTCATTCTCTTTGAAACTGGAATCTATGCATTTACCCTGCCCTGGTACACACTTGAGCAATTTGCAGCACTTTTCCTATCATGAGGATTCCCATTGTATCCTATGGTGACTGCTCACACCTGAGCACTGTGCGGCTTGAAGGATGTCACTCAAATTAAGCACATGAGTGTCTGTGTGGCAGAGTGGGCATGTTTTTTTTGGTTTTTTTTTGTCCCATGGGCTTCAGTGGGAGCTCTTAAAAATTAGCGTAATTAGTTGTTTTTTTTTGTTTTGTTTTTTTTACGTGATTTATTTTTTTTTATTTTGGCTTTCCATTGGCTGAAACCAAATGGCCTGAGTCTGAAATGCATGAAAAACACACAATCAGGGGCGGACTGGCCATTTGGAAACTCGGGCAGTGCCCGAGGGCCTGGGGTCAGTAGGTGGCCCCATGAGACGCCCCTGGTACCTTTTTTTTTTTTTTTTTTTTTTTTTTTTTTTTTTTTTTTTTCATAGGCTTTTTTTGAGTTTGGGCAAGGACACTGGCCCCATGATCCCCTATTGCCCGGGGGCCCCATGAGTTGTCAGTCTGCCCCTGCACACAATATACCCCAAAAACATCAAGTGTGAAGCTACACTTCTTGGACTGAATAGGACATTCTGTTGCTCCTAGTCACGTTATTCCTTAAGCCCTTTGTGAACCTGGCAAGATGTACTGGGTTTTTTTTTTTTTTTTTCAAGTAAACTACATCTGGTTTTGCTTTCTCATAGCGGCATTTGCCTTTCAGACACTCATTAGACTCATTGTTCTATTTATTTTATTTTTCTTTCCCTGGTTCAATTACTCCCAGAAAGTTTTCACCTTAAAATCCCCTTCCAAAGACATTTTCTGACTGTTGACCATTTTTGGATAAACATTTGTGTTGAATCGGTTACATTTTGTTGTTTGTTAGTTTCTTTTGATTTTCATGACTGTTTGATTTTTGAATATGACTGGCTACATTCTCTCCTAATTCTCCAAATACCAGTGTCAGTGTACAACTCTGAATCAGAAAAGTACAACGTTATGGAATCAACGCATGCTGCAGCCTTTGTGAACCTTTTTACTACAGAGGAACCCCTAAAATAATTTTCAGGTCTCTGGGACCTTTTACTAAAGTCAATTCATAGTGGTCAAAGAGAAAAAATGTTGTTTTGAATAGATGATCAGTAGAAACAACGCCCCACTTACAAACAGCTAAAAAAGATATCCTGCTGCTGACTTTGCAAAGTGCTGGTGACCCTGGAATTATGCAGGCACCAGAAGACTGATGTCAATCAGCCACAGATCATGGAACCCCTAGCAACATCTAGAGGAACCCTCAAGGTTCAATGGAACCTTGGTTGAGAATGGCTGGTACATCTTGAGCCACACTGGTGCTGTTGGTCTGTGATACAGAATGTTATTGTTTCCTATATCTTCATCTAAAAGTGAACTATCAAATCTCAGTTTTGTAAGATGACATAACCTTACAATTTTTTTTTCTCTTTTTTTGCACATGGTGACCAGTCTAACTTTTTCTTTGCTCCAGAAATCTCGCAAAAACTCGGTTTGGTTGTCATTTGCATCTCCAAACTGTTATTTAGTTTTGTATCATGTTTGCTTTCTGTTGGACTAATGACCCCTCAACCAGGAAAAGTTTGCTTATGAGGGACTTGCTTTTGTTAGGCGATTTACTGCTATGATTCCATTTGCACACCCATCTCTGAGGAGGTTGGCTCCAGATGCATGTTACACCCAGATTAGTATGAAATGACCTTCTCTGCAATATTGTTTTTACGATTTAGTATAATAAAACTTTTGAAGCATTTAATAAAATTCCCTTAGCATTGAAAGGTTTGAGGAGTGCAGTGTATTCTTAAAGTGGTAGTAAAGCTTAACGCTGACTATTCTTAATGTTCTCCCCCTTACCTATGCTGTATACCCTGTATTTGTAATTTTTTTTATTTTTATTTGGCTATATGATGATTCAACAGCTCTGGCTGCCTGGTGTATGGAGTGCTCAACAACTGCTGTGGACAGCACCCATAGGCTCCCATTGTCAGCACTTCCTCCTCTTCCCTACAGCAGCAGCTGCTTACTAACACAGGAAAGCTGGAGCTCCTGGATCAAGTGACCAGAATAAAAATGGGGAATGTACACTGATTTTTTTTTTTTTTTTTTTTTTTAATTACAGGCTAGGTAGGAGGAGAAAGAGGGGACTGCTTTTAAAAATAGCCAGAATTTGCTTTCTCTTTGCCTTTAAGCAGACTCATAGTGCCAAGCCCAGTGAGGATATGCATTAATTTAATAAATATTGCTTGATAAATCATAGTAGTTAAATGGTTAGCACTTCCGCCTGGCAGTACTAAGTTCGAATCCCAACCTTGGCACCACCTACCTGGAGTTTGCATGTTCTCCCTGTGCCTGCATGGGTTTTCTCTGGGTACTCCGGTTTCTGTCCACGCTCCAAAGACATGCTGGTAGGTTAATTGAATCCTGTCTAAATTGGCCCTAGTATGTATGAATGTAAGTTCGGGACCTTAGATTATATTCCCCTTGAGGGTTAGGAACTGATGTGAATGCACAATATATATATGTAAAGCACTGCGTAAATTGATGGTGTTATATAAGTACCTGAAATAAATAAATAGGACCACATACGGCTCTGATGATTTTGTGGTTGGCATTTTGCTTTTTTAGATTTCTCAGCCTGTTCTATAATCTATTTGCATGTTTAGCACCCCATGCTTTTCTGAAAGGGGCCCATAACTTGGGTCTGCACCACTCTTACGTTTGCCCTTGGCTCATCAATAGCTTGTGGTAGAGGATGAAATCCAAGGTCCATGAATGACTTGACTAAACCTGTCCATTTTCCTAAGGAAATGGCTGAAACTCAATAGGAGAGTGGCCCTATTAAAACCATTCCACTCAATATCCTTCACTTGAAAAATTAAAGGTGTGGGGTTGGAAATTGTTGGCCGAACAGCACTTGTGTCCAGTCAGATGCAGGTAGTGCTCAGGCTTTCTGACAGTTGGTGCTGCCTCAGGGGCAAATTCGTCCATCTGAACTTTTTAACATGGGCGGAGGAATAAGTTGGACTTCCACAGGCAGAATGAAAGAAATCTGTGGGTGTACGGCCAGCTTAAAGGATAAGTTCACCTTTTGGAACATATTACGTTCCAGCCATTTTTAGGGTG